TCCAAAAAAAAAAAAAAAAAGACCCCAAGGTTATTATGATCGGCACATATGGTGTGGAGGGTATCATGGGGAAGACAGTGTAGCACAGAGAAGGCAAATAGTGACTCTGTGGCATCTTACTATACTGATGGATAGTGACTGCAGTGGGGTATGGGGGGGACTCGATTATATGGGTGAATGTGGTAACCACATTATTTTTCATGTGAAACCTTCATAAGAGTGCATATCAATAATGTCTTTAAAAAAATAAAATAAAAGTGACCCGAAGGATTAAATACCAGTTCCCTACTCAATCAATCACAAAAAGGCCCACCAACCAATAGTCAAGCCACTTGTACAAAACTTCTAATTTGTAAATGTCTCCTTCCTGAATATAAGCAGATATACTCAAAGACCATAACACATTTGAGAACAATCCTTAACATGACAGGATTAAAGTAAAAAAAGGAGGGGATACCTCAGAAAATGCAAGGTGCAAATTAAATCTTAAAAGGCATATTAATATCTTTAGGAATAAAAAGATATTATACATCTATGACACAAGAATGCTATAAAAATTGCACATTCACAGATAAAAAGTCTGGAGATTATGCTTCAGAGAAGATAAAATAGATCATCTCTGGCTTATCCAGATGATTCAACGACTTGCCTAAACATGTTACTCAGAGCTTCCATGATGATTTTCAGTGCTTTGACTTATATATGAACAGGCAAATATGGATTACATTCTCCAAAGAAAAGTCTTTAACAATAAAGACAACAACAAAATCAACAAACCAGAATGACTCAGAGTAAAAAGATAATTGGCAGAAAGAAAACTTTCCACAAAATCTACCAATATCTTGAGTAGTTATAAGAATATATACATAGAACATGCAGGATTCCATAAAAGAGAGGAAACATAAGAAAAATGGCTCTTGAAAAGTAAAAATTATAGCAGAAATTAAAAACAAAAATTCAAAGGGCTGAGAAAGTTGAGAAAATCTCCTGGAAATGAAAAAATATAAAAATGTAAACATAAACATATATTTGACAGAAAAATGAGAGTCTCAGAGAACCAGTCCAGGAGATACAATATCTGAACAATGAGCATTAAAGAAACAGAGGAACTAGAGAAAAGAAAATCACAAATAAAATAATGCAAGAAAATTTCCTAGAACATGAATTTCCAGATTGGTGAAGTCCTTGCTAATGGATGAAAACAGACCCTCAACAAGGCACATAATCACAAAATTTCAATACACTTACGTGGCCAAGAGAAGATGGTTAAGATTACAGAGAAAAAAAATGGACATACAAAAAATCAGAAATCAAAATAGCAACTGGAATTCTTAAAAAGCAAGAATGGAACTTCAAAAACAGTAACACCTTCAAAATTGTCAGGAGAATGATTTTAAACCTGTCACTCCACGCTCAATGAAAAGGTCACCTAATTTTCAAGTATAATAAAAATATTTTCAGGCTTGCAAGGTCCCAAAAAATGCATTTCCCATGCAACCTTTTTGAAGATAAAATTAAAGGATTTTATCTTGTTCCACAAAAATGAGAAAGTAAAACACGAGGCAGACATGGAATATAAGACCAGGAGCTTCAATTCAAGAGATGCACAGAAAATCCCTAAAAAAATAATTGGTGATCCCAAGGGGGGATAGCTGTGCATCAGTTGGGAAGGCTAACCAATCCAGACCAAGGCCTATCTGAAGGCCCAGATCACTCTCCCATATGAAACTGACATACTACCTGGTGTTTCTCAACATACTGAGATTTATAAATCCAGAAGAGTTCAATGCTGAATTAATGATATGTACAAAGAATACAATGCAAGTGAAAAATCAAGACAAGTATTAATCTTTGAACAGTTTATATGATCATAACATAAATACTGAATATTCTCCTAAAAAATGACATTACTGTATTCAAAAGATGAGGTGAATAGGAAATGATCAGTGATAGGTGACAAGCTAGGCAGATGTGCTAAATCCTCACTTTCAGAGTGAAATGGCAATAGCAATAGTTAAAGCCCAAAACTAAAATCATGCAGTGTGGCCTTGTATGCATATGGAAATATGGATGTAAACATCAGAAAGTTATCTTTGGAAAGGTAGAAATAGAGGAGAAAAACTTTAATTTTAATAAAAATAAGAAAAAAATGAAACATTGCCCAGTAGTAAAGGATGTGAGTTTCAAGACTTTAAAGTTAAGCCTAGAACTGTAATGCAGTTAAAAAGAAATTTCAAAATACCTAAAGGATAAAAAGGTCCTGGAAAACAAATGTTAGATGGGGAAGAAGAGGAGCACTGTGAAGAGCAGAAGGGTAGCTTCTCAGGAGCCTTCAAAACCTTGAGGAAAAACTCTATCTCAGAATTTGTACTGACCCAACTATCAATTGAGTATGGGAGAAAACTAAAGATAATTTTGGCATGCAAGATTTAAGAAAAAAAATACCATCCCTTCTACAGACACTACAGGAGAATGAGTCTGACAAAAGGAGAGTAAACCAAGGAAGAGATGACGCGACCCAAAAAGAACAGGAAATTCTTAGGAAAATAGTGAAGAAAATCCTAGCACAACAGCTATACAGGAAGTTTAGAGAATTGAGGGCTCCAGGAGGGTATTTTCATAATACCCTCCATAATAGAACTGATATATTTGAACTTCTGAGGTTTAGCATTCCATAGGAGTTTAGCTTCTATAAAACAAGAATAAAAAATTGTTCAAGGAAAGTAACATGACACTTATAATGCTTCGCTATATATATTTTCATAGATCTAACTATACCTACTGACTTAGTAAAGTTGTCTCTTCACTATTTTGGGAGAATAGAAGAAAGGAAGGAAAAGGAAGGGGGAAAGGGTGCAATATCTCTAAAATTAAAGAAATAAAAAACATTGCACATATTTAAACATATGGAAGGAAGTATCAAAAGAAATACATAAGAGAGGTAAAAGTGGCTCCTCTCTGACATGAGAATAAGGAAAGAAAAGGCAGGAAACTGGCATCTTTCCTTGTATTTCACTTTTTAAACTTTTTACCTCTACTTTGTATTGCTTTTTTTGCATTTAAATAATTTCAAAAAAGATAAATTCTCTAATGATCTAAAATCTTTTTCAAATAAAAGATGAGATCTAATGCTGTTAGCTGCAAAAGGAAAACAAATTCATAAATTATTGTTAATGATGCTTTGAAGGATACATTGCAAAAGACAAAACAAGTAGACACCAGACTAAGCTGATATTCATTTCTTGTGTGGGCTTCATAAAATTGTAGTAGACTTCAGTTACTAGATACACAACTGTGGCAGCCACCGTGAAATCCACCAGCCACTGGTATTCTGGAAAGTAATGCAATGCTGAAAAATAAAGATTAAAAAAAAAAGGTTTATTTAACCTTTCATAAACAGCTTAGAAGGATTTATCTATAATTAACTTTAAACATGCTAGCATTTTTTCTATTTGTTGATTTCCAATGTAAGATTTAAAAACATGAGAATCTAAAAGTATAGGAAACAGATTGAGAATGTTGGTATCCAAACTACATTCTTACTACCTCATAAATCATTAGAACCTGATTAGATTACCAGAAAATATTTAAATTGTTGCTAAAACATACGATTGCAAAAATGGGTTACTATATTCTGAGTTGATTAGCTATTTTTTTACAGAAATTATAAATCAAGAGTTGTTTTTCAAGAATCCAAGATACAATACCTAAGCTTTAGGATACAATTTGGTGTAAAGTACTAAAAATTTACTTGTACTTTTCATTTCTGTGAAGTAAAAGAGTTATTTTGTTACAGTTATTAACTACACTAATAGAAGATTAATAATTTTGTGAGTTACTGCAGATTAAAACAATAAATTTAATAAGTATAATTTTCATTCTCTTTTTCTCTCTTTTTCTGCAAGAAAAGCTGATGAAATGCCTGTTGATCTTCCATAAAACCATCCTTTCAACAAACCATCCATCCTTAAGTATTTACATTAAAATTAACATTCTCTGAAAGTAAATATGTTTCCATCTTCCTTTTTATCTCAGATATTCTGGTTTACTTCTGTCACAGTGTAGTTCAGATAACATTTTGTATAAGGCCTCCCTCCTAAAAATACAGAAATAAATCACGTACATAAACATCAATTCCTATCTTCTCACTGCCATAAAATAAAATGATCTACATTGCCTTGAAAAATTTTAGTTGTAAAACATGATACCTCAGGATATTTTTAAATCAAACATTTATGCGAAAATTATTTTAAAAACAACATGCCACTCAGAGTAAGACTTATTTAAAATATCAAAACAAATTAACCAAACTTACACCCCTATGAAATCATAGCAAAAACCCCAAACCCCTTTATAACTGGATAAATTCTTTATTTACACCAAGTTAACACTCGATTTGCTTTAAGTTATTTTAGCTGCTTTAGCCATTTTTTGTTGTGACAGGCCTAATAGCTATGTAAAAATAGCTATTATACATAGCTTCTGAATATTAGTGTAAAAGATTACTCTTAACGTGGTTGCAGGATTCACATCCTCTAAGCTACCCTTCCTCCACTCTAAAAATCACCCAGTTGAGCCATCTGAGTAACTTCTGGGAGGAGGACAGGGAAATGGATGAACAAGTAGACAAGTATCCATTTTTCTAAAGGTTTCAATTTTTATTAGCAAAAGTTGAAGTATTGTATGCTTCACATCTGCTCATTCTAACAAAAGCTTCCTCCAGAGAACTCAGAGCAAACAGCCAAGTGACATTCAAATATTATGTTCTTTAAGAGGTTCTTACGGTAAATAACTAATACAAATAAAGATAGACTCTTAAGATAGGTATTGGGGTATCAATAACACATATATGCAACAAAAGTACAAATTACACATGTTATTGGCTAAATATTTAACCCAGTTACTATATTCTTCTTTTTGCATTCAATAATAAAATTATATATGTGCCTTTAATTGAATATTGAAATCAAAAGAAAACTTAAAAGAGTTCATCAAGCATAGTGGTTTGCATTAAGCTCTTATGACTACATAACAAGCAGAAAACCTCTACTTTTACCTAAATACACATAGACAGCATGCACTCACAAATTATACCTATATAAACATAAATAAAACATCCTCCTATTATTCTGATTACCTGCAATGTTCTTGATATTATGTAACCAGTTGTTAAACCAGTACCAGCCGCAGTGAATTCTCAAAATAGTGCAAGTGAAAGAAAATATTGAATAAGCTGTGTGCAGCACCCACATTACCTTCATTTCAATATTTTAGATTCACTGAAACAGCCTAGTTCTCACTGACTGGCTCTACATTTGGTGAGTAACCCTGGCCAAGTTATGTAACCCCTCTGCCTAATAAGTTAAAAAGAAAAAAAAAGTCAATAGAACATACATGCCTTATAGAACTGTGAGGATGATTTTGTTAAGAACTCAATTTTAAACTATTAAGTTAATTAGTTAATAATTATTCAATGAACATTAGTTATTAGCAATAATGACAAAAATCTGTAGTAGGAATCAGGGAGAACATGTACATATTCCTGTATTTATACATGTCTGTGAACATTTTATACAAGCAAGAACACATACAGGATTAGTAAAATATGTGAAACCAATCAAATGTCAATATGCTTTAATTTAAATGTTTTAAATTTTTCATGAAAAAGAGCTAAAAAGAAAAAAGAGGATGACATAACCAGTCTTAAAAACCTTAATGATAACAGACAACTGATTTATATTTTTCCTCATCGACATTTTTAAGTTGCAGGACACCTCACATACACACATGCACACATACACACACACACACACACACACACATAATCATTATAGATGTAGGATCAATTTTCAAGTATCTTGAAGCCATTTAGCATAATAAAATAATTTTATGAGGTACTAGATGAATTTATTAAGGTTCTTCTGGGGTGGTGTGATTTAACCCAGGAAGGGCCAAATTACGTAATGATACTTTATTCAACATTACCAAAATTGTTTCTTAAAAAACTGTTTTAAAAAACTGTTTGTTACTTTACCTCCTCACTTACCATGTAAACCATTAGCTATCAAACCCAAAAAAAGAAACCTGGAGCATCTTTACAAACACAAATTCCAAGAACCTACTCTAGATTTACTAAATTTTAAAAAGTATGAAGAATCTTTATTTTTAAGAGTTGCTCAAGAGATTCTGATGTACAGCCAGGTTTAAAAGCCAGTATTTTATACAATATCACCTTAGATGCCTTTCTCTTCTATGATTCAAATAATTTCATTTTAAATTTAAAATCATTATGGTTATTATACAATTGTAAACACTGACATACAGAGAAAAAAAACAAATTGCTTATTCAGAAACACCTAATGGTAAAAGTGCATCTTGAGTAAGTTTTCTGAGTGCTGGTCCAGTTCATTATTCTAAAACCACTTTCCTTTCTACTAAATATGAGACAGAAGTTGAATTACTGTACATACAGGTAATTCAATACAAACATACAAATGCATTTCTGCAAGCTGCATTATAAAAGGATCAGACTGGAATAGATGGCAAAAAGTCTAAAATTCAAAATAATGAAAACTGATATCAACATGAACTGTGTGACAAACTTGTGTACATCAGCCTGTTCTGAAAAATGGGAAAATTATGCTTACTACAAGTTAGGCAAATAGAAAAAAAAAAAAATCAAATTAAGTCATTTTGAGATTTTAAGTACTAAAAAAGATTCCATATTCTGTATGATGGACTTAATGATTAAAAAAACAAAAAAATCTAGCACAAAAATGAAAGTATTTTCACTAGCATAATTTAAAAGAAATTTACAGAGCGCTTTAGCAGGATTTCCCTTACCTAAAGTATCCACTTCTGTAACTGACTTTGTTTCTAGATGGAGGTCAATATCCTTTGGAATGGTTAGTGGCTTACTTTCAATGTGACCATTATATTTCCTATAAAAATCAGACAAGTGACACAAGAAACAAGTTACCTACACTGTTATTCAAGTGCTTGTATTAAACTGATTACAAATGAGGTTTTAAATTTCACAGTGAAAAAGAAGCAGAATTTCTAACATTTCATCAAAAAGGAAGTTAAGGTATTCAAAAGTAGTTTTTAAAAGGGAAGACTACAATCTGTTAATGTGAATTATTACGTGAATATGCAGATTACCAGAGAAACAGTTACCTGAATTAGTGACAAAATCTTGATTGCTATTTTAACAGTTCACCCCATTTCTCCTACTCTCCCTTCTGTAGATTTAAAGACAATCTAACACCTTTCTTTAGGCAAAAAAGTAAAGGCAAATGAAGACAAAATGCATCTTTCTTTAAACACATGTACAAACATACATGTAAATATATATACATATATATGTGTGTATATGTATGTAAATATATATACATAAACAGACCTGTGGCTATAAACAAGTCAGAGATAAAGAAATATATTAAGATTTATGTGCATGAGAAATTCAGAAATGTGTAAGACTTACTGGGAGTCACTTTTACAAAGAATCACGGATGGAGGAAGAGAAAGGAATTCTTCAGGTGCTTATGTATCATGCTCAAATTTAATTTTTAAAGACAATCAAACATATGTAAAAGTAACAAAGTTTTAATAACATTAACTATAATATCAAGAAAAAATTTTGCATTTATTCTTGAATAAATATACTCTGGGAAAACCTTGGTAAAAAGATTAATCCACATCAGTAAATCAAATAATTATTGCTACAAGGAACAAGACGGTGTCACTCGTGCACCTTTTGTTAAATGTAAAGCATTTTCATCATATAAAAGTTATTGTAAAAATAAAATTATTGACTATAAGGCATATGTTAACTACAAGGTATGACTACAAAACAAATGACTATAAGAATTCAACTATTTGTAAAATAAACAGTATACTATATAACAAAATTTTACAAATATTGGACATGGTATAGCTATGAATAGGCAGAGGTGGAACAGTGAAGAAGAAATATAGAAACTAAAAACCAACCTGGATTAAAATTCTAACTTTAAATAGTTATGTTAACTTGGACAACTCATTTAACATCCTTTTCCTCGTTAGTAAAATATAAATTAATACCTAATATTCAGGGTTGTTGAGTGGATTAAGTAACACTGTGTAAAAGTGCTTTGGAAATACCACACAGGAGGGTATGTTTTACTAAAGATCATAACTATTGCAATACAGATAAAGAGGTTTACACTTATATTTCAATGAATTTCAAGGTGTATTTGTGATGGTAAGTGAAATAGAGAATGGTAACAAGATAGTAAAGACAGTCTTTTCAAATTTTCAAATTCATGTCGAATAATCACTGATGCTTAAGAAAAAGTAGCACATACAAATATACTAAGCCCAGGTTAATGTACTTTTTATGATATACATGAGAAATTTGTTGTCACAAACATTTTGTAATATATTAGAATCAGAGTTTCAAGTCCTAAGAAGTCCTCCCCAGGTGAGAAAGCTAAGGACCATTCAGAGAGGCCAATTTATTAACATGCCCTTCCTTGAGAATTCAATTTAAACAAAGATTTTAAATAAAATTTTAAAGCTAGAAGAATTCTCCAAAATTACTATATTTGGTCCTTCTATTTCAAAATTGAAGCTTCTTTGGTCTATTTGTGAGATTTATTAGTAGGAAGTTTTCTTAATAAACTATCAATACAATATTCAACAGGTGAATGAGAATGAAGAAATTATACTGTCTACCCCTTTTGTGTGAAAAAATTTTGAGAACACAGAGGTCAAGAACAGGCAAATTTGCCCAATATCATCATAATGAGTGGTAGCAAAACCTGGGACAAAACCCAAGCCAACTGGTATCTTCAAATGAGTTGTAGGGTAAAGACAATGGGTTATGGGTCTCTCCCTAAGAACTCCCCACTATATTTTAATATGATGATTTTATTTTTCCATAATTTAAACACAAAGAAGAAGAAAAAAACCCAAAGTTTTCTAAAGTTAACCATTCTTATGTAAACTAATCACTTCTGTGCTCATATAAGATCACTACATATTAATTTTCTTAAAAAATGATTCAATACTTTTTAGATCATGAGTTCTGATCTCAACTTTATCAACTGCTTATAGTATAATTGGTAAATGTTCCTTTAACCAAAGAACAAAAATAATTTACAAAAATTGTGTCATATATTTAGCACTTTTCAAGTTCAACATTATAACTTACCTATCTTTTTTGCTTTTCCCTTTTGGCTGCTTCCCTGCAAGAATTCTTAATTCTTCTTCTGTAGGATGTTGATACCATCTCAAACTAAGAAAAGAAAAAGAATCTTTTAAAGTAAAGCAATTAAAAATCACCAGAATTATTCATTTATTCTATAAATATTTATTGAGTGTCCTATTTATGAAGACACTGCAGGGAAATAATTAGATGAAAAACTTAATCTGAAACAGATACTGATGCTTAACCCTTAAAAGGGTTTCGATTCAAATCCAGGGAACACTTACCAAGCACTTACTAGATGCCAGACCCTGCAATGATGTCTGCAGGTATATTTCTTACAACTGACAATGTATTAACATATATTTAGACCATATAGGCTTACTGTTAAAAGTACATGGAGTGAACTCTACAGGCAAGCTGGCAGTATAGTAGCACATTAGAATACTCCACCCATCCTTCATTTACACAGAAGGAATTGATAGTTGTCTTAAAAAGAGTCCTTTGTATGCTCTCAAAACTATAAGTAGTCTTTCTTTTCCTTTCCTTTTCTTCACTCCTTTAATTTAGATGGAGAATTATGAAGCTTTAGTGTATAAGAATTAGAGTAAATCACTGTATTTACAAAACCCTTCACTCTTGGCTTTATCTAACTAACCCTTTTCAGTTAGGGCTCCAATAACCAAGTATACTCACCTCCACTACACAGTCCAAACATCCAAACAAATCATTTATTCCCTCCCAAGCACCCACCTCATCATTCTCAATTTCCTGTCTCACCTAAACATCTTATCTACCAGCTACCTAAATTTGATTCTAAAGTTTTATCTTCAGTGTGCCCTTTGCACATGTTATCATTAATTCGGTTTTTTGACTCTTAAAATTCTCAACTTGCCTGCTTGTCTAAAAGAACTTTAGTTCAGCATATCTTCCTCTTTCCTCTGACTATGGCAAAACTCTTTAACTGGTCTTGCTTTCTCCTGGATACTCCCCTAAATGCATTCTAATCCCATCTTCAGTTATTTTTCTATGATGCAAATCTTATAAAGGTATATGCCTGTCTAAATTCTTTCCAAGACTCCTCACAGGGCAAAGCACTAAGGCAACTAGGCAAAGACTGAATAAGGAAGGCCTTGCTGTCATAATGGAGAAACACACAACTTGTACTGCTAGACCTTCCAATTTTCAATTACAAAAATCTGGATTTTTAAAGTGAAACAACCCAATTTTTAAAAATGTTAGAATGTTTGCTATCTTGATTTTAAAAAGCTAGCAACTGATTTGCTGTTTTTAAAAATACTGCAGAATAGGAAATTTGAGTAATGTTAAGAAATTTGATGTTTAAGAAATGGTTAAAATTTTAGCTATAACAATGGGATTATAGGAACTTTTTAAAAGCAAAAATAAAATAATATTTGCTACAAAATAGTATGTTGGTGGGAAGGAAGATGAAGAAAACACAGATGAAACAAGTTGGCCACTAGCTATTGTGATGAGTACACAGGAGCTCATTATATTCATTATAAATTCATATTATTCTGTCCACTCTTTGAATATGTTTGAAAATTTCCATTAAAGTTAAAAGACATCACAAGGCCCAAATGCATATACGGTTTGTAACCTTCTCTTTCCAAAGCCAGTCTACTTCACCAGACTCACCTTAAACAATTCCCTGTTTGAACATGACATTCTAACTAGACTAAATGCCATTTTATTCCAAACTCTTCCATCCCTTGGTGTTTTGCCATATATTCTTCTCTCTGCTTGTAAAGACCCATGCTCCTATCTAACAAACTCCTCATTTACCTTTTACTGTTTATAAGGCCATCTCTCTATGGTATAATAAAGAATATATCTTTATTTGATATATTAGATATATCTTTATTAGATATATATAGAACTGGAAATATAGAATATATCCCAGTTCTTGGCATGGAGCTGCAAAAGCCCTTGGGATTTCCTGAGTGATAACGGGGTGTCTTTGTTATGGTATGAAGGGACTCATGATGTACTTCCACATAGCTTCTTCGGTTTGGGCGCTGGTCACCAGAAATATCAACCATGTGATTAGAGGGGTCTTTCAGCCACCTGAACTCCAGGACAGAGAGAGGGCCTGAAGATTTCAGTTCAATCATGTGACCAGTGATTCAAAATCATCCATACATAATGAAACTCCATAAAATCTCTGGACACGGAAGCTCAGAGAAGCTTTCTGATTGGTCAACACAACACACAGGATGTACCTAAAAGTACTCTGATTCCACAGGGTGAGCAAGGAAACTCTCTGAGCTCCTTTCCAAACCTCATCCTATGTGTAATCTTTATAGTAAAATTGCAATCATAAGCACAGCACTTTCCTAAGTTCTAGTTGCTTTAGCAAATTATTGAATCCAAGGGGGTCATGGGAATGCCCTTATTTGTAGCCAGCAGCAAGTTGTCAGAAGTATGGGTGGCCTGGAGAGCCCAATAACTTGCAATTGGTGTCTGAAGACTGGGCATTCTAAGAGAGGCCTTTGTCTTTAACCTGTGGTGTCTGTACTAACTCCTGAAACAGTCAAAACTGAATTGCACTTGGTTATCAGGCCAACTGGATTAAAATAGAATATTCCTTTAACTGATTCTTGAAGAGATTATTTTTATGATTTAGGTGTTTTTGTATACTTCAAAACTGGTAGTTACTGGCATATAGTAAGTGCTCAAAAAGGATCATTGAACCAACATGAATTCAGTCCTCCACTTAAGTTTAAGGGTTTTAAAATAAAATATATACCCCAACCCAAAAGTCCCTAAACTGTAATTAACATGGGTTGAGGAAGCACTTCCTGAAATCTTGATTGAAGTCCAGAATTTTAACTTACAGTCGAATCTCGTTATTCGCGGTAGTTATGTTCTATAAAGTCGCCGCGAACACTGAACCATTGCTCCTAGGGGAAATACAGGGTTAGGTTCCTGTGAGCCTCTGGTCACAACATTTTCATCAACCAATCAATATGAAACCTTGTTTTATGCGTGTTTATGTTTAAATATACCTTATTTAATATATACTGTTGATTCAACATAAGATTCACAGCCAACGGCACTGTAGCTCAACCCTAAACAAAGCTTATCTAATAACTGTAATCATAAGTATATTATTTTCCTGACGTCTGTGACTATTTCAAGTGAATTTCTCCACATGGTACATGACAGCTTTCTCGTGCTTAGGAACACTGGATGGCACTTCAGCACTATGCTTTGGGGTCCCTTTAAATAGTGAAATCACCAACAAAAAGCAAAAATGTGAAAATATGACTAAGCAGACCATGAGAAGGACAGCTGTTTACAATATGAGAGGTGAAACAAGAAGGTTGCAGCTGAGAACATGGGCATTAAGCCATTCGAATTTTTTGCCACTCGGCATGTGTCAGGGAAAGAGCTTGAAAGCACTAGAAGTAAGGATTTAAGGTTTGCAAATACATTTTAGCAAGTAGGCAAATCACAAATATAGAGACTATGAATGATGAGGACTGAGTATATGTAACATTTAGAAGAACATATAAGCAATAACTCATTTAAAACAACTAAAATTAGTTATTTAGATATGAGAAGTAATGAGTAGAACTCTTAGTACAGGAAAACTTACATTTAAGCCCTATAAAAATGAAATATTTTAAGACCCTTACATTTTTTAGGTCCCATTTTCTTTTTAAATATACTCAAGCTAGTTTAATTTTATTTTGTGAAACATTTTTCTAAAATAGGTTGAATTTATTATACTTCTTACTGGATAACTTCATAAGTAACAATTATTGTTCAAAGCTGAACTGAAGGATGCTGGGTGTTCTTAAGGCCAGTTGTAGTCAGTTACTACTCCATCCATCCATCCATCCACCCATCCACTCATTATACATTTAGGGGGCCCACAAGGTAAGTACTCTGCTATGCAATGAAGATATAATCACACACAATAAAACCAAAGTCAATGCTTTCTTGATGCTTATATTACAGTTGGGGCAGAATTTAACACATTTTTTTTAAATGACAAAAATCATAAATTGGATACTACGCAGAAAAAACAAACAAGTGGTGAGAATCAAAGAGACAAACTTTAGGTACCAGGTTAGGAAAAACCTCTCTAAGATAACACTTACCAGCCAACTAGAGGATAAGAAGAATGAACAAAGAGCATTACAGGCAGAAAACAGCATGTCCAAAAGCACAGGTATTAAAATAACATAGAACACTGCAGTAACCAAAAGGCCAATGAAGCAGTAGTACCACGTGCCAGGAGAAACATAAGAGAGAGGCTAAAAAGATAAGGGAACAGATCATGCAAACCTTCCTGGTTTATATAATGGAGTTTATAGATTTTAAGTTAAAATAATGGTCTCAAAGCAGGAGAGAGAAGTAACTGGATTTCAGTTAAGATCTCTCTTGTTGCTCTGTGAATTAAAGGGAGGCAAGAAGAGCAAGGTGATATATTTTGGATATTGAAATAACTGGTCTTGCTAATGGACTAAAGGTAGGGACTGAAAACAAGTAGGAAATGATGGATGGTATCTACTTTTTAAGGAAGATGGTGGTACATTTTCTGAAATAAAACAGAGCAGGAAGAACTCAAGAATTTAAACATGCTTGAGTTTCTAAATACCTATACGACAGCAAACAAAAATATTAAGGGGGTAACTATGTATGTGTGTGTGTGTGTGTGTGTATATATATATATATAAAACTGTATTAGATCTAGAGCTCAGATATAACCTTGGGGTCATCACATAATTATATAAATCTGTAGGAATAAGATCACCTAAGAAAATAAAACATGGTAGAAGGCTAAACAGTACATAAGAAAGTGACAAAGTAAGAGTTTATGAAGACAATGCATGTAACAAATTTGGCTAAGGAAAACAGGGAAATAGACCAAAATTAAGGAATGGACATGGGAGGGCTCTGTCTTTTAGGGAGCTTAGGGAGCAGAGTTGTGACTATTTGCTGTTGTTACTGTTGTTATTATGTTTAATGGTAGAGCTTTAAAAAAGAAAAGAAGTGTGCATGCTAATAGGAACAACCCAACATAAATGAAGCAATTAATGATACAGATTAGAGGAAAT